AGCTCCCAGAAGAAAGACAAAGGCCTCCCGAAGGAGAATCTTCACTTAGGCTGATGGAAATCCTTGTTTTCCTTTTGCTCGTTTGTGTCAACATTCTTCCATCAGGCTGGACAACTGACAGGTGCACCCCTCCCCGGGCCCCCTTCAAAGTCCCCTCCCTGCCATTTGTGTCTCTCCCAGATATCCAACAGACACTATCATCCACAGGAGCCGAATATGATTAGCAGAAACCCTTCCTGACAGCCCCAACGAGGATCCCTCAAATGCATATTCTATTGAGTGCATCTCACTGCGGCTGACAGCCGCTTTATCAATTAAATTCCACATTCCCTGTCTTCAGAGACGCCACAAGCCTCTCTACCTAATAAATCACAGGCCCCAGTTATTGTTAAATGTCCCATCAGTCTCTAATAAACTCCCTGCCAACGGGAGCAGGTTATTTATTATGCCGCCTGGATAAGAATGAATTGGGCCCCGTTCTCACAAGGAGAAGAGCAAACATGAAGCCTTTCTCCCTAAAGACTGAGGCTGTGGTATTAAATGGGGCAATTAATCAATGTGGGCCTTGAGCAGAGGAGTGTCTGGTCTGGAGAGAGGGAGGATGGCCTGGGGTTCTTTTCCCAAAGCCGGCCAGGCAAATCCCCATGGCCAGAGGTGGCTGTGCGGAGCGCAGGGGCCCAGGCCTTTGCTGTGTCTCTCCCTCTCCTAATTCCTGCATGAAAAGATACTGAAGATATCATCACCCCACAGGCTATGGAGAACATGCAAAAACCATTATTCTCCATGTTGGGAGGGAGCCACTTAGGACTGAGCAGGGTCATGAAACAATAAATTCTGTTTGGAAGCCCAGATATTGTTACTCGATGAACTCGATGTCACTAAAGTTTACTGATGGTGCTAGTCCACTGAGCAGAAGCACTGAAAAATCTAAGAGGAAAAGAGATCTCGGAAACACATGCCTGCTCACTGTTTGCTGGATAAACAGCATCCAGGGAGCACTGGCAATTGGAAAGCAATGTAGCAACACCTACAAGACCCAGGAGCTGTTAGGTGTAAAGTGGGCTTTGCAGTTACCTGCCATGAAATAGTTCCCAAACTTACATGATGTTCTATGGTCCGCAAATTAAAATCCAAACCCCTCCCCTTTGCCATTATTCAAGCCCCACTCTACATTTCCAACTGTATTTCTCTTTGTTGCTACATAACCCTATCCCGCTTTGGGAGAACTCAGCACGTTCATTTCATATTCCTTATGGTGGCAGACAAGGTCTTCCACAATGCGAGATCAATATACCTCTGCAGCCTCGTTCCCTGATAACTGCTGTCATACTTGCCTGGTTCACACCGAAGGTCTTGCCTTCCCTAAAAATATGGTTTCTCTTGCTTCCACGCCTTTGCACGATCTGTTCCCTTTGCCCAGAATATCTCCTTAACATGTCTGCCTGCTGAGCTCGCCTTCCACCCCCAGTGCCTGATGAACTCGTTATCTATTCTTCAGGATCAGCTCAGAAAATCAGCCCCCAAGGCTTCATGAGACTTCAGCTTTGTCTCCTGACGCTGCTGTCTCCACAGAAGTGCTAAACTCCTGGGATTAGAGAAGGCAGGATCTGCGCATGGAGTTTTTCTCATAGTTCCATGCACACTTTAAACTCGCAGTTCCTAACATTTTTTTGTGTCGCATTCTTCCATCAGGCTGGACCGGTGCTCCTATGAGAATCTAATGCCTGAGGATCTGAGGTGGAGCTGAGGCGGTGATGCTAGCACTGGGGAGCGGCTGCAGATACAGATGAAGCTTCGCTTGCTCACCTGCCACTCACCTCCTGCTGTATGACCCAGTTCTTAACAGGCTATGGGCTGGGTTTGGGGACGCTTGCTTTAAACTACTGATTCTGGATGGAGATGAGAACAGCATAGAGAAGAAAGCTATTACCAAAAGCTTTTCCCCTCAATTTCTCAGTTCTTACTCTCCCCGCTCATGGCAGCCATACTTTGAGCAACTAAGACCCTGAAAAATGTCAGTACTGCAATATGACTTTACACCACCTGTGCTGCTTGCATATTTCCTTCTTGATCAGTGCCACCTGTCTGCATGTATCTTTCTCCGTGAGGGCAAGAGCTCTGTTTATTTTATCCCATTTTTGTTTATCTAGCATTTGGCTGACTCCTATTAGGTGTTCCGAATATTTTTGTCGAATGAATACAGAGATGTTTGTGGATTGAATGCAAATAAGAATGTTGCTTACCCTTTGTTGTTTTGAGTGCCAAATATGAAAAAGTGGCTATAAAAAACTTAGTACCTTCCCGTCTTTCCACATTCTCCCAGATCCTCACACCCAGGATGGGCCAGCTTGTGTCCAGGCTTTTATTTATATAGTTTTCCTTCTCTCTGGGTGTAGAAAGCTTCGCTGCAAAATGATTGGATGGGGACCATTTGAACCTCAACATCAATTACGTCTGTCTTACTCCCACTTCTTTAGCTCACAGGATCGCTCCCCCCTCTAGCTCACAGGAGGTGAGGAAAGGCCTTCCAGGCAGTCAGAACATCATAAAGGGGCTGAGGTCCCATTGTGATTTTATCCTGGGGGAGGCTTGGAGGCAGATAACATCCAACTGGTTTCTGTGCATGTGACTCTCACACCTTAACTAGTTGTTAAATGGTCTCTTACCTTTGTGTTTTATCTTTACGGCACCAAAAATTATGGTTGACAGGATTATTGCAATTTTTAACTACTGAGGAATTCACTTTATTGACTTGTGTTTTTAGCTACAGCATATAATTCTCAGTAACATTACTGCAATATCTGTGTCCATAAAACATCATAACTAACAAATGCAATAATAGAATGCTGTTAAAATGATAAATGTGTTTTTTTTTTTCTTTCTGAAAACTAGTTCTTTTGTTTCTTTTGGTATGAGAGCTGGTTCTTCAATAGTGATGGGTGTGCTTTCTACAGAACCACTCCTGTACACACAGAGACGCAGCAGGCACTTTTGAGCAAGAAAGTGTCAGCTATTCAACGTTTATTAGGTCCACCAAGGGCCTGGTGCTGGGCTGGAGAGCCTGGAGTGACAAAATTACCTTCTTTGAGAAGCTCATAGTTTATTTAGTGTGAGGGTTGGACACGTAAGCAAGTAAATAGAACACGGTAAGAGCTAGACTGGAATTATTTATAGTGTGAAATGGGAGCCTGACATGGGAAATAAAATGGCTGTCAAAAGGATCAGGATCTGAAGTTGAACCTAAATAACCTAAGATATCCACTTAAGAAAAATTATTCCAGCACCTGTGGAGTGGATGGCGGGGAAGAAAGTGGACAGGGAGACCATTCAGGAGATTGTTGCAACAGTTAGGATGGTGAAGGAGCCTACAACAGGACAGATGCCGTGGAGACAGGAGAAGAGAAATGGATCAAATATTTGGAGGTGGAATTACCTGCACTTAGCGAATTGTTAGAAAGGGGAGAAGGATAGTAGAAGGTGGGGAATTAGAATAATTCCCAGGTTTGAGATTTGGGGATTAGGTGGATGAAGGAGGTGGGGTCCTCAGAGGAAGCCTGGGACCTTTAGTGCCCACTCCTAATGGTTCCATTCCTTCATAGGGACAGTTGACGCTTTCTCAATGTTTTCTAAATTTCTAAGCAAAATGCATCTCTAGGACTCCTTTTCAATGAGATTATTATCGAAAGTCCTTCCTACATGGTTTGGAATCTAGATCATCACTGTGCGTGCGTGTGTGTGTGTGTGTGTGTGTGTGCACTCAAAGGGCACAGGAGTGGAAGATAATGACCAGGATTATGATCTAAGGACAAAACAAAAAAAAAAAAGCTGGGGTCGGATGCAGAATATCTAAGTTGGAATTGTGAGTAAAATTAGGTTGTAGAAATACATTTGGAATTATGACTAAAACTTTGTTATAGGAGCTCGTTTATTCAATATTGAACACTGTGTCAGATTCTGATTTTTCCCATTAGGGATACAGCAGGCAAGGTGGAATAGGTCCCTGTCCTCATTGAGTGGGGGAGACAGACAATAAACACATATAATTTCAGACAATGATAAGAGCCAGGAAGAAAAATAAAGCAGAACAAGGTAATAGAGAATGATGAGAAGGGCGAGGGAGTGGACAGGATGGGGAGCTCTCTTAGGGTGTTCAGGAAAGCGTCTTTGAAAAGATATTTAAGCAGAGCCCTAAAGTAAGGAAAAAGTGGTAAAGACTGCTAGTTGCCACCCACGAGATCGGAGGAGGCGGGGTAGGGCGGAGAGGTAGGGATAGGAGCAACACATAGAAGACATATTAAATTCGAGATATTAGACGTCTAAGTGGAGATGTTGAGGTGGATAGATGAACAAGCCTAGAGTTTAGAGAGAGGTTTGAGGTGGAGATATGAACTTGAAAGTTGTCAGTCCTGTTCCTGGTTCTGATTCAGTTTACTTTTGTTAGAGCTCACCGCGTGCCAGGTACTGTGCTAGGGGCTGGGGACGCAGAGATGAATCAAGCTGTACCACAGACACATACTTGACCACTTGGTCAATTCTGTCTAGCCTAAACTCCAGGGCCTCTCTGTGTGTACAGAGCGGGCAGAGAGTTGGGGCGGGACAGGGGAGGGTTAAGGGAGGGTTAGGGGAGGTAACCTCGGAGTCGAGGCACGAAGGTCGGTAGTGTGACGCGCTCCGCGCATCACAACGACAGCCTTGTGAAGTCGGCGACGCGGGACGCAAGGCTGGACGGACCCGCCCACAGAGAGCCAGGAGGCGGGGCGGCGCCCCCACCGTGAGCGCGCGGCGCCCTCTGCAGGCCGCAGGCGGCGACACATCGGTAGCCTTCCCTTTCCTCTACTTCCTCTACACGCCCGCCTTGCTCAGGCCACAGGTTTTTGTTATTCTAGCTGTTTCCCTTTCTTTCTAAGCCTCCGACTTCCGTCCCTCCCCACCAAGCGTGTCAGTGTCTGCGCGAGAAGGGTGCTAATAAAGTTTTCCCTCTTCTCGCTCTCAGGCTCCCCGCCCCGCCTCAAGTACCGCGAGATCTAGCTGCGCGGCTACCATGGCGGCGGAGTTTGAAGCCCCAGCAGCTTTGGGGACCGTGGAGACTGCTACGCCCTTGGAGCATGTTGCCGCACAGGTCTCGGCCCCGGAGCCCACCCCCGGGCCGGCGCGGAGCCTGCGGACGGCTCACGACGTCAGCGGCCCGCGGACCCGCACGGGGGACGTGCTGCTGGCCGAGCCCGCGGACTTCGAGTCGCTGCTGCTGTCCCGGCCGGTGCTGGAGGGGCTACGGGCGGCCGGCTTCGAGCGGCCCTCGCCGGTGCAGCTCAAGGCCATCCCGCTGGGGCGCTGCGGGCTCGGTGAGGGCCGGGGCTATGGAGAGGCCGAGGCGGCGTGGCCCGGGAAGAGCCCCAGTGCGGCCGCCAGTGCGGGGCTCTGCCTGGGGCGAGGCGCTGCACGCGTTCGAGCCTCACTTTCCTCTTTTTGTAAAGCAGAGGCTCAGTATTGAGTTTGAAGATAGTTAAGGTTCTTTCCACACAGAGAAGTGGTTCCGAGTTTGAGAAGATAAGCAGTAGAGGTTCAGGGAAGAGGCACGTTCCTGGATATGGCCATGCGTTTTTGAGAGTTAACTAAAAACGAAGGTGTCAACTAGGTGATTTCTGGAGACCCTTCTAGCTCTGTAATTCATATCTGGTACCTAAGCGTCTTCGGTCAGTACTGGCTAGTGATATGTATATTTTTTCTTTTCAGATTTAATTGTTCAAGCTAAGTCTGGCACTGGGAAAACCTGCGTATTCTCCACCATTGCTTTGGACTCTCTCATTCTTGAAAACTTAAGTACCCAGGTGAGTTAAGGTCAGAGGACCCAGAAGAGGGGGTGTAATGTGAATTTTAGCACACTCTGATGAAATAACTAGTAGCTCCTCAGAGGTAGACGGGCATTTGATGAATGATTAAGTTAAGCTATACGAAAAGTATAAAAGTAGACATGAGTGGTGATTGCGTGGTGACCAAGGACGCATTGTTAGTGTTAGAAGTTTGGAGTTTTTCTGTTATTAATGCATTTTGAATAGAATGACTGTCCTGTGTGTGTCAATTTTGTCATTATTTGAGAATACAGATACTCTTTTTTACTTACCAATCAGACTTTGGTGAGATTTAACGTTTGGCCTGATTCATGGTAGTGTGGTAGTGTGGTGCTCTGGCTGTTGCTGGTAACTACAGGTGGTTCTTATAGGTCTCTGAGTGTATCATTGACCTGGCTTCTGGGTTCTCATCGAGAGTACCTAGAAGCACTTAGATCTCATAGAGTAGATCTAAGATGGCCTTACTCAAATTAATAGATTTGGGTTTGGAGATCATTTCTTCAACAAAGATTTGTTGAGCCCATATTAGGTATAAACATTATTTCAGGCATTGGGGATACAAAGATGAATCAGATATGATCTTCAGAGTCTTATTTTGTGGTTCAGTAATTATGACAGACTGTATGTATTTCAGGTTCTCAGTCATGTATATCTGATGCTGTTTCTTCAATAGTGGTTTTTAATCCAGATGCCATAGGACAGGGGTCCCCAACCCCTGGACCGTGGACTGATACCAGTCCATGGCTTGTTAGGAACTGGGCCGCACAGTAGGAGGTGAGCCGCAGGCTAGCGAATGAAACTTCATCTGTATTTGCAGCTGCTCCCCAGCGCTAGCATCACCACCTCAGCTCCACCTCACATCATCAAGCATTAGATTTCTCATGGAGCACCAGTCCCTGGTGCCAAAAAGGTTGGAAACCGCTGCCATAGGAAATCCTTCTATTTCCCAAAGACTTGGGCTATTCTACTTGTGCATTTGGCAACAGGTGAAATGCCAACTCCCTGAATAAGTTTCATAAATAAAATTGGCATTTTTTAATATAAGATCTTTTCTTATCAAAGTAATACATACTCATTTTTGAAAACTGGGAAAATTTGGAAAAATAAGTGCCAGAAAACAAGTTTTAAGCAGTTTTTTCTTTTCATAGTTGAGACCACGTAGTTTCACCTTCTCTGCCAACAGTTTTTTGTAACGTTCTCATTGTGATGCCCAGGGCCTTCCATGACCTAGCCTCTGGAGTTAGATCTTTGATCTTTACTTTCCCTGTAATTCTGTCCAGCCACAGGGGCCTCCTTGCTGTTCCTCAAACACACCAAGAACGCTGCTCTCCTAAGGCCCTTGCATTTGCCACTCCTGCTTCCTGAAGGCGCTTCCCAGGCGTCACACAGCGCGCTCTACTCTGTCATGTACATTTGGGTGTCTGCTCAACTGTTACCTCCTCAGAGGGGCCTTCCTTGATCACCCCATTTAAATGACTCTTTTGTTGCTTCTTTCTCTTTTCCCTGTTTGATTTTTCTTCATAGCACTTTTTATTACCTGCCATTATTTGTATATGCTTGTTTATTGTATGTCTTCTTATCATTCAAGAATGAAAAGTGCCATGAGAGCAAGGACTGTACTGTTAACTGTTGACGCCACAGAAACTCATATGTTACCTAGGTTCTCATTTGTTTGTTGAATTAATACATGAATAAATGAATAGTTTCCTTTGTCCATAAAACCTCATTTAAAGTGATCATTTAAAGGAAAAATAGTTTATTGTATAATGAGTGTGCCAATCACATGTATTTATTCCACTGACTCAAAGATATATTTTACATTTTCTTAGATTTTGATCTTGGCTCCCACAAGAGAAATTGCTGTACAGATACATTCCGTTATCACAGCCATTGGAATAAAAATGGAAGGCTTAGAGTGTCATGTCTTTATTGGAGGGACTCCATTATCACAAGACAAAACCAGACTTAAAAAGTGTCATATTGCCGTTGGATCTCCTGGTAAGATAGCAAATGCTTGTTCATAACTGGGGCTTTTAGGAACTGAACACTTTTACTGTAACAATAATATGAGAATCTTTGGATAACTATGATAATTATTTTGAGGATTAGAAATGAAGAGCCTTTGACTAGTGAGAGATAGACACGTGACTGGATTACCAACAGCATTTTCTAAAGATGTTTAAGAACACATATGGGATAGGTTTCTGAGAAGAGGATGAAGCAGATGACTTTCAGGAAGCCATTCTAAGCCATGGATTGAGATTGTTCTTTGCTGCTTTATTAATCAGTTTTGAATCACTTAGAATTAATCTAGCATCCAGTGCCTTAGCATTCAGGTCTTTTGATAGAACTGGTGTTTATTTTCCATACTTATTGGTGATGAAATATGACGGAAAATAATGGATTTAGGCAAGATCAGAACTCAAGATTTCTAATTTGTGGCTTAGTGCATAAATGCACAATGAGGGTTGGGTCGGGAAAGTCAGCAGTACAACCTTTGAGTAAGTAGAGTGACAACACTGGCTGAGACGTGCATAAATTTGGTGCATCATAAATATTTCAATTTTTTAAAAAATTTAGGCAGAATTAAACAACTGATAGAGCTTGACTACTTGAACCCAGGCAGTATACGTCTCTTTATTCTGGATGAAGCAGATAAGCTATTAGAAGAAGGCAGCTTCCAGGAGCAAATAAAGTAAGAAAAATAACTAACTTTGACTATTAAAGTGGTGCCCAAAGTATCTGTCTTTAGCTCTTCAAGGTAATGACTACTGTCTGGTTAGTCTCCATGGCATGTGTTTTTCTTCTTTTTTGCAGTTGGATTTATTCTTCCTTGCCTGCCAGTAAACAGATGTTGGCAGTATCAGCAACTTACCCTGAATTTTTGGCTAATGCTTTGACAAGGTACATGCGAGATCCCACTTTTGTAAGACTAAATTCCAGTGACCCGAGTCTCATAGGTATGTACAGATATTGGATACTTAACATTACTGGTTTGTTCATGATATTCTGGAGTTTTCCCTGGTCTAGCTGCCTATCGCTTTTATATTTGCTATTGACTTCTTTGTAGGTTTGAAGCAGTATTACAAAGTTGTCAGTTCGTACCCTTTGGCCCATAAGATTTTTGAGGAAAAGGCTCAGCATTTACAGGAACTGTTCAGCAGAATTCCATTTAATCAAGCCTTAGTCTTTTCTAATTTGCACAGCAGGTAATGTACCTTAAAGGGTCATCTGGGGAACTTGTGAAATAGAAGCATCGGTGCGAAGCAATGTTTGCGAAATTATAACCCTCTGTGTGTTTTATAGAGCACAACATCTGGCTGACATCCTTTCTTCTAAAGGCTTTCCTGCAGAGTGCATTTCAGGTAAGTTCATCTCTTTAATCTTTGTTTACTATTCTGACTTGAGGCCTCACCCAAGTCAAGAGGAAGAAGTACTGCTTTATGAGCTGTCTTGTGAGTGAGGTTATGCTGAGTCTTCAGAGGAAATTTCAAGTTTGTTTTTCATTGAGATTTGATATGTTAATATTCCTGTTTTTTAAGAAGTAACTTGGTAAATAATAATTAGAAAATGAGAACTTAATAATTTTATAAAACAAAGTTCGTTTTTGTCTTTTTAATAGGCAAACATTTTGCTTCTTGACATAACACCTGAGGTGGTGTTCCAGAAAGGGGAGGGTCCTAGGGGATGGCCCAGGGTGGTTAATTTATTGCCCTGGGAGTAGTATGTTGCAAATCATGTAGACCTGGTTGTTGTTACATTTCATATGTAACTTTGCAGATATAGTTATATCTGCAGGCATAGCCTAGTCACTATTTAAAATTGATTTTTGAAGTTTTAGTGGATTGGCTAACTAATTTCAAGTTGATTGCCTAACCCTGTTTTAAAAGGTTCTGACTCTCTAGGTCTTAACCTAGATTTGTCTGCTTTTTGTGGATTCGATAAATGTGTATTAGTTTGTTTTTATATGACTTTCTTTTCCGGCTTTTTTAGGCAACATGAATCAGAATCAGCGTCTTGATGCTATGGCTAAACTAAAGCAGTTTCATTGCCGAGTCCTCATTTCCACAGATTTGGTAAATTGCCCCTTCAGTTTGGGTGACTAACGCTCTTAACATATGTTCTGTTATCAGATGTACAGATTTCATCTGTTGTTTTATGGGGTGTATCTGACAAGAATACCAGAAGATAATTGTCTTTCCAGTGCTAGGGAATATGCTTTCATAAAAATGTCTTTTATATTTCATCTGTATTCTTGAAATTAGTCATTAGAAATGAATTCCCTTTTCCTTTGCTCCTAAATATCCCCCTCCTCCTAAACACCCTCCTGTTTTTAATCTGGTTCTTCGTTATACTAGAATAAGATAGTGTACATTGGTACCACGCCGCAGTTAATACAAACAGACAATTTCTCTCTTTTTTTTTTTTTCTTAAATTCAAGACTTCCCGTGGGATTGATGCTGAGAAGGTGAATCTGGTTGTGAATCTGGATGTACCATTGGATTGGGAGACATATATGCATCGGATTGGCAGAGCTGGCCGTTTTGGTAAAAAGAAAAGTTTGGGTGTTTTCTTTAAGCGGAGGAATTAGTAATGTGACAGGTAGACTTGGAGTTTTGTTTATGTGAAAAGGGTTAACATTTTCTCTGTGCTTTAGGTACTTTGGGACTGACAGTGACCTACTGTTGCCGGGGAGAAGAAGAAAATATGATGATAAAAATTGCCCAGAAATGTAATGTCAACCTTCTGCCTTTACCAGGTATATTTTACCTGTTTCATTTTGCTATCAGAATAATAATGGTAATGATAAAGGCCTTATAAGAATAATAGCTAACACAGAATGCATATTATGTGTCAGGTACTATTCCATGGTCTTTCTGTATGTTAACTCATTTAATTCTCACCACAGTCCTATGAGGTATATGCTATTATTATCTACATTTTGTAGATGAGTGTATCGAGGCATGGAGAGGTTAAGTAATTTGCCTTAAGCTTTTAAAGCTAATAAGTAGCAGGGAGAAGATTGCAAGTTAACTATGGCACATGAAAAATGAAAAATTGTTTTCTACCGTGTTAGCTCCGTTTTTTAGTTTGTAGCCTTGCAATTTAATTTTATTCTTTTTAAAAGGTGGGTATTTTACCTGTTTTGTCACCGTGAAGGTAATTCTTGTCATATTCTCCTTTGTCACTATGGGGAAGGCATAGTATCTTTAATTTGAACACTATTTTGCAATTTTTGAAGTATTTTCTTTTGATTTTAATGAATCATTTGTCAAGCTACTCTTTTAAAATGCCATCTTGGAAACAGTGTGTGTTTGAAACTATTAATGATCTCTTGAAAACAAAAAAACCCTAAAAAACTTGTGTGGAAATATGGTTTATTTGCTATATGTGTTAATACATGCACATTACTATATATGTCTATATGTACATGTATATATATACCTATTCATAACTGTATACTTATAGTGTATACATGACCTAGAATATGAGATACATGGTGATTGAATAAATATAACAATTTTTACCAATTTATGTTGTAACTCCTTTAGTGATTTTTACAAAGTTAGATTAAACACAGGTCTGGGAGTCCTGTGGATTCTAATAGTTCTGCCTTTGTAATAACTCATTTTATGATCTTTCTGCAGATTTCTTTAACTTGCTCCAAGCTTATGTCTTGACTTACAAAATATTTATTTTATGAAATTATTCAGAAAATGCTGGTCTAGGGTAGCTAGAGAATTTTAATATTGTTTTATTCCCTCTCTATAGATCCCATTCCTCCTGGTCTGATGGAAGAATGTTCTGACTGGGATGTGGAGGGTCGAGCTGCCGTGCATACACACGGCTTAGTGAGCATACCTGCCAAGCCCCTAAAAAAACAAATTCAAAAAATAGAGAGACCCTCCCAAAGTCAGAAAGCTCACGGTAACCACTTGGCTTCATCTCGAAATACTTCCGTGTCTGCGCTATCAGTCAAATCAAAAAGTAATACCAAACAAAAGCTGCCTGTGAAAAGCCACTCGGAGTGTGGAATTGTAGAAAAGGCGGTGTCACCCAAAGCACTGGGCTGTGCCCCACAGCTGGAAGAGCAAACGAAGACTTCTGTTCAGACCCCTGTCGAAAACTCTAACAACAGTCAGCACCAGGGCAAAGAAGAATTACCTGTGTCCCTCCCCAAAATTCCCTGTCTGTCTTCCTTTAAGATCCATCTGCCGTGCACTCTGACTTTGGCAGAACTGGTAGAGGACTATGAACACTATGTTAAAGAGGGGTTAGAGAAACCCGTGGAAATCATCAGGCACTACACAGGCCCTGGGGGTCAGACTGTGCACCCTCAGAATGGTTTTGTGAGGGATCGAATTACTGAAGAGAGAGCGCAGGTATTGGCCAGTAGTAGCCAGTCTGGAGACTCGGAGAGTGACAGCGATTCTTACAGCTCGAGGACTTCTTCCCAGAGCAAAGGAAATAAGTCATATGTGGAAGGCTCTTCTGATACCCAGCTGAAAGACTCGGAGTCTACCCCTGTGGATGGCCACACCCCTTTGGAACCACCTCTGAATGGCAATGACACTCCTAACGTAGAGTATCGAGAATCACCTGACATCCAAGTAAAGACAAGGCATAAAGAGGGGGCAAACCAGAGAGCCAAGCAGAGCCGGAGAACCCTTCCTAGGCGGTCCTCCTATCGATGGCAGACGGAACCCCAGGAAGATGGTTGGTACGACCACCACAGGGAAACGCATCTCAGTTTTCCTGGTACCTATCAGGATTATGAGGAGTACTGGAGAGCTTACTACAGGGCCTGGCAGGAATACTATACTGCTGCTTCTCAGTCATATTATTGGAATGCTCAGAGGCATCCAAGTTGGATGGTGGCCTATCACATGAATACCATTTATCTACAGGAAATGATGCGTGGTAACCAGTGACTAGAGGTCACACTTCAGACCATCCGAAAGTATCAATGAGCGATACCTTTGGATAGCCATCCCCCTCGACCTATAGTAGAATGGCATATAGTGGCATTTTTGAGGAACTTGAAGTGTTAAGGCTTTCTGCTGGGATCCATCTCTTTTTCAGATTGTTTTGACCTTTGATTTATGTCAGGTACATTACCTTTTTTAAAGAAACTTTGTCATTCAGATTCTTGATGAATTTTGGGGGACGTAGAGCTAAAGGTCCCAGGGTGCCATTTTCTATAAGCCATTCCAAAAAGAAATGTTTGAAAAGACTTATACCACTGCTTACTTTAAAAAATAAAAACAGTTGCGATTTGAAAAACGTTAGTTCATGCCGGGGAGTTCTTTGCAAAAGGCTTGGGCTACATTTCCATAGAGGTATGTTCCTGTAGGAATTTGTAATATGGTAGGTCAGAAAATCCTCTTTTAGGTTTAGACAAGGAGAAGTAAACATTGCTTAACACTTCGCCAAAAGTACTCGATTTGACGCTCTTTGTATTCAGTAAAACTATTTGTTACCAGGAAAAATACAAACTTAGCCAAAAGTGTTGACATTGTTCATCTTTTGAGTGTTTTTTGTCTTTAAGATTGTGAAAGCTGCCCACACCTCCATAGTACATTAAATAGCTAAGGATCATTGGTGGCTGTCTTATTTTTGTTTCTCAGAAAGAGAAGCAACTCATAATCTTTATTAGATTTTAGATCCTTTTATGAATCTGATGAAAGCTATATAGATAGTCCCAGAAAATTTCTCATTCTATAAACAAGAATTGTGTATGTAATTTCAAGGGGTTCATAGACCCCGCCCTGGGCCTATCTGTGGTTAACTGCCCTACACTGCCAGAGCTGGAACTCATTCTGTTCAAACTCCTCCCACGATGTGTCTTAATCTTGTGTCTTCTAGAAATTTTTCCCAGTTTTTACCTCTAATGCTAGGATCCAAAGGAAACAGTCATTTTCCTGAGATGGTACATCTATAAATTATGATTTAGAAAAATATAATTGGAAGTTACACATCCCTTCTTTTCTGTGGCAGTCCTTTTATGATTACACATTTGCTTCCCAAACCTTTCTGTGAGCTGTATTTGTGGTGAGAGTACCTCTTATGTATGGAGATATATATACACTTTTTAAAAGGAAAGTTCTTTCCTGTGTACATATTTGTCTAGGCGGTATAATCATTTTCCCTCAGGACTGTCAGCAAGCATCCACAGCCGTTGTCATTTACTGTCTAACAGTCACATAACACAGTCCTAAACTTCAGTTTAACTTGGATTCCTGTCATTTGGGTTGGGCAATGGTAGGCTTTACTTATATGTACCAGTACTGTACATGTATTGCCAAATTAGAATGAATTAATTAACACTAAATAGCAAATCCATGATTAGGTCCAGTGTGTTACTAAGAAGTAGAGACTTTAATTACACATTTAAATAAAATCTTGTCATTTCTGTATAATTGAATATACCTCTTTTTCTCCCCTTTCCCCCACAATGTAGCCAAGTTCACAGTTTGTCATTGCTAGGAGATTTTAATTAGGATACTGCTGCATCTTAATTAGAAATGAGGTTACCCATTAGTCTTGAAATTAATTGGATTCTCTCTTCAGGTTCGTCATATTTTATGTTTGCTTTTTTTTTAATAGAAAAATAAGCTGGAGGTGAGCATATGCATAACATGAAAATACTAATTGCTTCATTTTTCCATAAGCATTCGCTAGGAAAATTTCAGCTGTTATTTTCCCGAATAAGGGATGCAGTTACAGTGGTGGCTGTCAGAGGAATCTGCTGCTCTTTGTGTGGAAGAGGCTTTTCTGTTTGGAGTTGTCAGTCTAGGTGCACGTCCCTACAATCTGTTAAGGACCCTACAGGGGTTTTGGGTAAATTCACGTGAGAGTGCTTTGTGCTGCAGTGGAAAGAGCATCTGTCCTGGTTGAGACTGCTGCTGCCTCTTTACCTTGTACTGGCCACTTCTAAAGATCCAGTGTGCTCATCAACAAAACGAGGGAGTTGCACTAGAAGAGTTTTTAGGGTCTCTTGCAGTAGTTCTAAGATTTAATTACTATATTACTAATAAGAGGAAACACTTTCTGGCTACAGAAAAGGCTAATTATTTTATGAATACAAAGTGTCTTTTTAAGTTCAGGTAATGGCTAGTGTGAGTGGGTTAAATGTCTGAATTCTAAAATACTAAATCACTATACTTCACGACAATTGTTCAAGTTGAACTTAAGAGACTAGTAGTAGTAACATGCAGAGAAATCTTTGGGAAACCTGCTGCTTTGGATAATTTTGACTTAGAACTAGAATACGAATTATGATTTAATATTTTCTAAAGTAGCTTAAGGATTGCAGTAATGTTTATCAACCTTTTAAAAACATGTGGTTTAAAAGTAAACTTCAGCCCCTGAATATTAAATATAATTGAATTATAATACTCGTGGATAAGCTCATATAAAACAAGGGAGTAGTTTGAAGTTTTAGAGTTTTTTCCCTTCCCTACATGTAAATAAACCTGTTAATCTTAAAAAGTAATTTTTTTTGATAGTCATAGCTGACATTGGAATATCACCACAAGGTTATTCTCTTGTTTGGGCAGGGTATGTTTATTGTTTTGTGCCTCTGTGAAGAAGCACATATGTCCCAGTTAACATTTTGTGTTTTTTAATGAAAAAGAGCAAATATTGCTCAAAGCACATCTGGTTTCCAGTTTATCGCCAAGACATTTGTGCTATGGATCTGTAGTGACACCTAGTGGGTGATAAGGATACGAGCATCAGTGATCGAAATGCATTTATTTCACAGACAACTTCTAGGGCTTCGGGCATCGTGCATTTGCCTTAATGTTCCATTTCTATGGTTTCATTAATTGGGATCTGGTGGTCGTGGGACACTAAAAGGGTTCCCATGGTCGTTGCCACATATGGTGACATATGAAAACGCCTGCCGCTCTCATTACTTAAGTCAGTTATTAAGGTTACAGCATATCTTCAAGATAATCTAATCCAACTGCTGCAATTTTTAAGACGAGGAATCAGACTGAAGCCAAGAGAAAAACTAATGACTCAAGGTCATATAAGTAAGTGATAGAACTTGAACTTGAGCCTCCATCATCTGATTCCCAAGCTTTCTGCTATACCCTATATAGCATCTAATTTTGAGTTTTCTTTTTAGTTTGAGGCCGTGGTTTAGATGAAGGAGTCGGTATATTCTCAGCAGAACCAGTACTGATAAAGAAGGGAGATTTTCTTTCAATAATGCAGGGGCTGGGCCTCAAAATAGAGCTGTTGACAAATGCAATCAGATGCTTTCCCTGTCAGTGACCATGAGTGACTAAAGCATGCAGGCAGGAGGACTGTCAGGGATGTCACCGAGCAGTTGCTGGGGGCCGGGAAGGGAAGATGAGACTTAGGCACCTTTCTGAACAGAGAGCCTCTCTGTTAGATCACTTTTACTTTCTAGTAGGAGAATTTGTATTAAAATAAACATTCATAAACATTTTAGGGTTTGTGGCACATAGTTTGTTTAATCCAGATTGGATACATCAGGTACAGCAGTGGCACATGACTCAGTACTGTAAATGATATACATTTTAACATATGCACTACGGTTTCAAAAGACGACAGGAAACTCAAGATATTTTTTCCATAGAAAGTTTTCACGTTTATCTTCCTGCAGTTTTGTACAGTATTTCTTCTTTGCCATTGTGATGTTGTAAGCAAAGCCCATTTATTATACGAAAATAGAAAACATACTTGATGTTTTTCACGATAACATTTATGGGGTGGGGGGGGGTGACCGCTAAGGAAAACATTACATTGGAATGTCTGATTATCAAAAATATACCATCCCTCCCCCCTCCCAGGTTTGTAAAATAGTCTATTGGTCCAAGGAGCCCCCCAGGACTTGGGTCAGTGCCTCGCACTGGTTAGAGTGACACCGGCCAGTGTAGGTAAGTAACCTGCTAATATAAATGTCATTCCCACACTCGATGTGAAAAACAGAACATTCTGAATAGAAAACAAGACTCAGAAGGAACCCCTTTAAAGCTTTCTTTTGCTGATAGCCTCTTTCTCTTAGTTCTAATGATACTCTTCATGATGCTATTTGAGTTCCAAGTGTCATGGGTCATAACAATGTTTTTCCTTCATCCAGTTGTTTTAAAGCTTTGCATATGATGAGATTTCATAAGGAAATTAGAGAAAATAAGTCTTTCAGGTTCCTAGTTGTCATGGTTACCATGCCAACTAGAAGGGAAAGTAATATTGCCTTAGTAATCTAAGATCTCAGCGTTGGGATCTTTCTGCCTTGTAGGTACCCGGTAGGTGAAGTGAGGGAGTCTGGACCACTAGAATTCGTCAATAACGTCAATCTATAAGTTTAGCTCAATTTCAAGCACTACCTCTGCAAAATTAGAAAGAAAAAAAATCTAGGTACGTGTTTCAACATATACTTTCCCTGCCTATATTCTAACAAATAAGTGAAGTGATCATGAACTAACTGTAGGAGTCAGTTCGAAAATGGTAAAGTCTGCAGCATATCCATGAGCTGACTTTTGTTCATCATGGATCAACATTAACTGTCCACTTTAATTTCTGTTCAAATTATTTGTTTTTCTGAATTTCATTTACTTACTGGCCTTATACTCCTGTGTGATTGTAATGTGTTCATCTGTCATTGAGAACATCTGGTCTTTTGAACAGGATTCTATGCAGTTAGTCCTGAGCTTGACACTAGCTATGAAAATGGATGAGGGGAAAATAGTACAGAGTTTGCTTCTGGCGGTCCTGGCTCAGGATGCTTCTGAATAGAATGCTTCCACATCCTTAGTCACCATCCTTGACATCCAGGCATTAAAAATATAAGCAAGCCTCAGAGTAATGCAACATGACATGGAGGAAAACTCCTCAAGATAGGCTGTCTAAGCCCTGGATTGCGATCGCAGTCCTGCCCTGTGACCTTGGATAAGTCATTCAGCTTCTTGCCTGTGCTCCTCTCTGTGAATCAGGGATTTAGTTAACTTGACCCACTACTGTCAGAGGTTGTAATAAGGGTCAGAAGGACTAGAAAAGGTATGCTTTGAAATGTCCTAGTCCTCTCTTCGTTGGGAAGAGAGCATTTGACTGAAAAACCTGACTGTTCGCTTATTTTTGATAGATTTGGCAGCCTGTGGCTGGTGCTCCCCAGGGAATGGTGGTTCCCAAAGTATGGTTCATATTCGTGCAGTCAGGTGGCTTCCCAGGCTGCGCCCAGGTAGTGTTGGCATTTACGTAAGACTACGTCTCTAGTTACTGCCTCCGTACACGGTCTCTGAAGCACGGTCCCTCTGAGAGGTGATAGTGTAGTGGAAAAAGCATCAGACTAATAGCCAAGGGACTTGCGTTCTGGTCCCAGCTGTCTTTAAATGACTGCATGGCCTTCAGCAAGTCACTTAATTTCTCTGGGCCTCAGCTTTCTATACCATAAACTATTAGAGAGAGACTTTAATATCTTCTTGTTCCGATATACTCTTAATACTATATTTTCTAAGTTTCCATTCATGTGAATGGAGACTTTAGTTTTTCTTTAACTCTCGCTAAAGCTTAGTGGGATGGAATGGGATGGGTAGTTTGGGGGAATCTTCCGTTATGCTGAAGCGATTCATCAACTATGAAAGCTCAAGCGTCACTGTAGCAGAAAGCCACTGCCCCAGAAAGCCCCGATGTCTTGGCTCTTCAGCCGCTGGCCAAGGAGTTAGACTTGCTGACCTGATGGGGCCACTTTGGCCCATCTGTGTCCTTACAACCAGCAGTGTGCTCTGGCTGTTGGCTGCTGTGTGGATGAGCCACTTTCCTGGGTTGATGTCTTTTGGACCAGGGGTGAGCCGGGGCTCGCATCCTGGCTGAGGCTACACTGGGGGAGGTAGATGAAGGGGGTGGTCTAATGGTCTTTTAGGAACTGGCATAATGTGGGATTTGGAAAGGAAACTGTCAGAACATGGAAATTCTTTGGGATATGATCATTAAAATGTGTTGATTAATTTTCGTGGG